TTGATTTAGTTTCCCGTAGTAATTCTTCCACACAGAGCCAGCTTTAATTGGCCTTGGAAATTTTGGAATGTATAACCAAAGTTGAAACCTATTGGTTTTAAGTAACTCCCTTTCTTTAAAGACAAGAAAAATGCTCAGTTGATTAGGTGACTTGCTGCAAATTATAAAGCAAATTTTCTAGTAGCGCTAACAATTCCAACACCCCTATCTGATTCCAGGCTGCCTCTACTATGTAAGAGCCCACTCCTAAACCCAAGCCCACTCCTAAACCCAAGCCCACTCCTAAACCCAAGCCCACTTCTAAACCCAAGCCCACTCCTAAACCCAAGCCCACTCCTAAACCCAAGCCCACTGTTCCCATACATAGCAGCTGGCAAAATCCTTTCTTCCCAGAGCTGTTTCCCTGGGGGTGGGGATGGAGTCCAGTTGGTAGTATGTTTGCTTAGAATACAGGAATCCTTAATTCCAAGTACCACATAGACCAGGTATGGTGGTACATGTGTATAATCCCAGCACTTTGAGATGGAGACAGGAGGGCCAGAAGTTCAAAGCCACCCTTTGCTATATAGGAGTTCAAGGCCAACCTAGGGTACTCGAGACCCAGTCTCAAACAAAAACAACAAAAACGTGTGGATGGGGACTTAGCTCTGTAGTGGAGCATTTGCCTAATAAGTGCAAGGCCCTGGGTTCAGTCTCCAGCACTGGAGAAGGGAGGGAATCACACATACACACACACACACACACACACACACACACACACACACACACACACCAAGGGAGCAGAGTTGTTTCCATTTACCTGCTCCCCTCTCATCCCAGGTTCACTCTGACTTTCTGGATGCACTTGAGTCTTTCTCTTAAAGCCATGTCTTCACTCAGCCTCCCTCTCCTCACCTGCTTCTTCACCTTCTCACATCTACCGAATCTGTTCTTGACAATCTTCCTGTAAAGATCCACGAGTCTCTAAGAATGGGCTGTCAGAAATACTCCAGAGACCACTCCTTGGGAACCACATGTGCCAACACCAACTCCCCAAGGCACTTTAGAAAAGACCAAGTTGGGGCTGGAGAGATGGCTCAGAGGTTAAGAGCACTGGCTGCTCTTGCAGAGGACCCAGGTTTGATTCCCAGCACCCACATGGTGGCTAACAACTATCTGTAACTCCAGTCCCAGGAGATCCAGCGCCCTTTTCTGACCTCTGCAGGCATTGAGCATCAGGGATGCACTTGCATACTTGCAGGCAATACACTTGTACACATAAAAAATAAAATAACAAAGTATTTGTTTTAAAGGAAAGGCCAAATCATCTGCATTTTGACATACATACATCCAGTCACTAAGACGCACAGGTGCCTCCAGTCAGGATCTTCTCAGAGCAGCATACTTCTTACCTGCTTTCTGCTTTGCCCCGTCCTTCCTTCTTTTCAGAGTGAAATATGGCAGCTGCACATGTCCTCCAGCCCTGCTAGACTCCTGCACCTCACCTTTTAGTCTGATAGCATGACTAATCCCCACTCTGCTTGTCTAGTGGGCTGGTAGGTCAATGGCAGGCGGCATAAAATAAGGCCATTTTAGCATGGCACCAATAGCAATTAAGGTTGGTTCATTTATCATCTTGTCAATATATTCATCTTAACTGCTAATCTTCCCTAGAAATGAACATATTCTCTCCTCTCTGGGTTAGCACTTCTGCCCCTGTTGGTTGAAATGTTCTATTTGAAACCTAGGGACTATTTACCAAAGACCCATAATAACATTATTTGAAGGAAAAAATGGGCTATAAAGCCTCATGTCTTAAATGCAACACTGGGGCTGGAGAGATGGCTCAGTGGTTAAGAGCACTGGTGGCTCTTGCAGAGGACTCAGGTTTGGTTCCCAGCACCCACATGGCAGCTAACAACCATTCATAACTCCAGTTCCAGGGGATCTGATGTCCTTCTCTGACCTCCACGGACATTGCACAACATGGGTGCACTTACATACATGCAGGCAATACACTCATACACATAAAATAAAAATAATAAATAAAATATTTTAAAAATAAATGCAACACTATGGCCTTGAAATAGTGTACAATTTTTCATCTAATAATTTGGAGATAAATTCGTCAAAACTTTGATTCACATGATGTTGGTAACCAAAACAAGCTGAAATGCCTTAGGCAACATTTATACTGGAGGCCATAATTAGATACCAGACACAACAGTCAAAGGAAATGGAATTTTCCAAACTCATCAATTCCAGTAATTTATTAAAGGGTAATGTTTCAGTTGAAAATAATTTATACAAAATGAATAAGATAATTTACTGTTAAATTGTTTTTATCATAAAATCAGCATATTGAAAGATTATACTAAACTCAGAAACTCTACCAAAGGGTTTGGAAATACATGAAAAATTAATGAGCCTTCAACTATTTATCAACTAAATAACAAATATACAAATTTAATGTTTCGTCTCTGTCATTAGATTGTTTCAAAAGAGCAGATGGTACAACATATTAACATAGAAGCATCTTCTGCCAAATTATCTTCATGATTCAACCCATAAAATATTTGTAAAATTAAACAAAATAATACAACAAAATAATTTAGTATTATGAAGTAATTGTGAGAATTGAGTTTTCGTCTCTAGTTTTCTTAGGGATTCTATGAAAATGTACATGAAAAGTTACAAATAAAATAACTAATGGGCTTTAGGGTATATAAGCCATTTTGACTGTAACAGACCTTGATTTTATAATAACTGGGCTCTAAATAGCTAATTATGAATAAATGTGAAACATGTTAAGAGTAAGTAGAATTAGTCTAGAAATAAAATATGCTCAGGCTTTTCATCACTGTAACAGAATACTTGAGAAAATAACAAGGAGGGAAATCACCACTTCAGTCTAAAACTTTGAACTTTTGATCAGAATCGGGACTATTAAACTATTTGGGACTCTTGAAGTTGGAATGTATGTATTTTGTTCCATGAGATGTCCATGAACCTATGGAAGCCACAGATAAAATTCAGTGGTTTGAATACAAAATCTCCCTGCCGTGTTCAAACACTCGTCTAAAGCTGATGGTACCTTTCAGAAAGGTTTTGGAATCATTAGAGGTGGAACTTTGCTAAAGAAAGTAAGGAGGTGGGGGGCAAGCCTTGAGTTTGGATACCCTAGCCCCTTTTTTAATTGTTCTCTCTCTGTTTCTTAACTTTGACTATAATGTGACCAGCTGCCTGACTTATACTCCTGCTGTGTCATGCCTTCCCTCCATGGTGGACTGTATCCCCTTAAACTGTAAGCCAGAATAAACCCTTCTTCCTTTAAGTTGTTTTTTGTCAGATATTTGATCACAGCAAAGCAAAAAGTAACTAACATACATATAGGCCTTTAAAATATTTTTAATCAATAGCTTAGCTTAGTTGTAAATTAAATGTGAATTGTTTTTATAGGTTATAAGAGAGGAAAAGAGGGAAGGAGGCAGGGAAGATTGGTTCATCACTCTTACAATGGTTTCAGTGTATCTCTAGGAATTCATGTACTAGACCCTTAATCCCCAAAGACAAATATTAATGATACCCAGAAATAGAGCTCTTTAGAGGTCATTTGAATTAGACAAGATTCCCATGATGAGGTTGGTGGCTTTATAAGCAGACATTTGCTAGCATGCTTGCTCTGTCTTGCCATGATAATCTCCACCATGTTATACAGCAAGAAACCCCATACCAGATGTCTGCACCTTGATGCTGCACTTCCCAGCAAACAGAACGTTGAGCTAACTACACTTCTATTCTTCCTCAATTATCTAGTTTGTGGTATACAGTTATCAAAACAGATGAAGACAGCCTCATTGGACCAGAAAGACCCACCTCCTAGGCCCTCTCCATGTTCCTCCTGAGTTCCTAAGTCTGACATGAGAGGTGCCCTTTCTCCTTCATCTGATCTTCTCTGAAGATCTACTGGACAGAACTGTCATGGTGGTCACATTCAGCTGGTTTTGAATCATCATTTCTCTTCAGTAGTTGGGCAGTCTCTGTTTTTTTCTCTTTTGACTTTTTGCTGTTTGCCTCTCTCGGTGTCTGAAATTCTCTCAGCTCAACCACATGGGCTAGTCAAAGATACCTTTGCTCCTTCCATTGCCCCACCTGCCAGGTTTTACCTCCTGTAGTAGTATGCATTTGCCATTGCTTGGGTCACATCTTAGGTAACAGCTAACTCAGTAAGAATGGTTGGCCTTGAGCTCACAGCCAACCTCCTGTCTCAGCCTCTCAAGTATTAGAATTATAGGCATGAGCTACCATGCCTGGTTAAGAATTTAATTAAAAGAAATCACTAGCAACCAGACACATGGTTATGACAGAAGGTAAAGCTACACAAAGATTTATTATAATACTTTGTTAAGTAGTAGAAGTACTTCTCTCTACATTCAAGGAGTAAGAGTAAATGTAACAAGAGGGGCTGGAGAGATGGCTCAGTGGTTAAGAGCACTGGCTACTCTTGTAGAGGACCTGGGTTTAATTCCCAGCAACCACATGACAGCTAACAACTGTCTGTAACTCTAATTCCAGGGGTTATCTGACATCCTCTCCTGACCTCTGGGGGCATTGCATGATGTGGGTGTACTTACATACATGCAGGCAATACACTCGTATACATAAAATAAAAATAATAAAACCAATAAACAAACTTTTTTAAAGAGTACTGTGTTTATTCCCCATTGGCTGGGGTCCAGCTCACAGCCTGTCCTGGTTGACTAGTTTAAAAGAATTAGAGGGGGGCGGGAGGGATGGCTCAGCGGTTAAGAGCACTGACTGCTCTTGCAGAGGACCCCGGTTGGATTTCCAGCACCCACATGGCGGCTA